ATACATATTTGATATTTGATCACAAAATTACCTTAGAACCGTGTCAAAGGACACGCATACTCCCTTGTCGCACATTCGCCTGTAAAGATGCCAGCATTCTTTTTCCTTGGTAGTTTGAAAGCGCGGTTCCGTCGACAACGTTAAATCTCCCGGTGATATTTCCTTTATAGGCAAAACCTCTTTGACATATTGTTCGACCTGTGTTTGTAACAAGGATAGATTAAAAATTATGAGAAAAAATAGAAAGGGTGAGAGATATGGTGAAAAAAAGAGAACGTAGGAAAAAGAGGGACAGGAAGACCAGCTAATAAATCTTTTATGGAAAAATCAACGATAGAATTAATCAAAAGATAAGATGCCGCGCGTATTCTAATCTTACACACACACACACACGCACGCACGCACGCACGCACGCACGCACGCACGCACGCACGCACGCACGCACGCACGCACGCACGCACGCACGCACGCACGCACGCACGCACACACACACATACATACACACACAGGGTGTCTCCCACTCTCCTCCGAGCAGTCAGAGGGGACGTAGAATGGGTTGATGTGAACATAAAAGTCCTATACTGTTTTGTGAAATTCGTAATAATAGTCGAGTAATTAATTGTGAAAAATTAAGAAAAAGTGTGTGCTGAATGGTAAAGGACGGACCGCTTGAGTCACAGCGAAGCTCAATAAATATAGCGCGCGGATATCGCGCTTGGCGATTGGAAAACAATGCACCACTGCTTAAGGGACGTCTACATTGGAAGTAAACAGTAAGAAGTAGGAAGTAAGAATAAGAAATTGACCAATCATAGTTAATTATTCTTCTCACATTCGACTGTGGTTGGTCAATTTCTTACTCTTACTTCCTACTTGTTGCTATTTATTTCCAATGTAGGCATCCCTTTATTCTTATACCGCTGCGCTCCTATGTCTTGCCGCACCGCATCGAGGCGAGATGTAGGAGCACAGCGGTATAAGTATAAACAGTGGTGCATTGTCTTTCAATCGCCACGTGCGACATCCGCGCGCTATATTATTGGGCTGCGCTGTGACTCAAGCGGTCCGTCCTCTACCATTCAGCACACGCTTTTCTTTAATCTTTCACAATTAATTACTCGACTATTATTACGAATTTCACAAAACGATATAGGGCTTTTATGTTCACATCAACCTATTCTACGTCCCCACTAAATGCCCGGAGGCGAGTATAAGACATCTTGTGTGCGCGTGTGTATGTGTGTGTGTGTGTGTGTGCGTGTGTGTGTGTGTGTGTAAAAAATTAGACCGACAAACTTTGAGGGGAAATAGAGGACATAAAAACAAACATATTTTGTTAATGTTTTTTTCTACGACGCTTCGTTTTAATACTATACAAGTACAAAATAGGAATTTTATGATTTTAATAAAAAACAAATATATAAGTGGAACAATTAAATTTATTTCAATTACACATATATATTTTAATTTTTAACAAACAATAAACAAAAGAACAAAAATGCGCAATTAATTAGCTCAATTTATAATAAATGTTCAAAAA